CACCTATAGATTACCTGCAGATTTTCTATGGTCAGTATCTTGCTAGTCTACCCTGCTGGCTGTCAAAATACCTGAACAATCTGATTGGATACAGGCATAATTCAGGTATTTTGACAGCCAGTGGGGCCGACTAGCAAGATACTGAAGCTTGGCCCAGCGGGAGATTCCTCCATCCACACGGTTCAGCATAGATGGAGGAATCTGTTGCACTTTTTCCATCTGACCATAGAAAATCTGCAGATAATCTTTAGGTGTATAGCCATCTTAACTCATGTGTTTTGGTTTTCAATTTAGAGATATACACAGGGCAGCCATCAGGGGGGTACGGCCGATACTCATGTATGGGGCCCGGGCAGCCTGGGGGCCCACCCGAGTCCCTTACATGACTATTGGCCGACGTTGAAGTGCGAGGAGGCAGAGGCCTGGCCCTAGCAGCGCAGGGCCCAAGCATTGCCGCTCCAGCGGCTTCAAGACAAGCTGGAGCCCCATCAGCGACACTTCTCAGCTGATATCGGACTGGCCGGAAGTGACGTCACTTCTGGCTGGTCCGGCGGCAGACGAGGCTATATGTGCAGGTAAGAGGAGCTAGGAAGCAAGGAAGGAAAGGAGGGAGGGATGCAGCCCTGACCAACCCACCTGAGACCCCTTCAGAGCCCACCATAGACAGTCGCAGATGGGCTGTGCAGCATCTATGGTGGGCACTGCAGGGTCACTCTCAGGTGGGTCCTGTGTCCAGCGCGTCACTAAGCCCTACGTGCAGCGCGTCACTAAGACCTGCATCCAGCGGCGGGTGGGGGGGGTTTCATAAAGCCGTGTAAGGGGCCCCAAAATTTCTGATGGCTACAAATTGTAGTATTTTGCAGATTACCAGTTCTTAAATGTGGTTGCTGCAATAACTTTCTTTATTCTTTATTTTCTCCAGGAAATCCTGTGAGCACACTTACTGATATAGGGTGGTTATGCTCACTCACTAACTAACTATTGGCAGATTTGATTTGGTTATATCTTACTAACAATGATATCAACCTTGTGATAATAAAACATTTGTAGTTTTTTTAAACTTATCTAATGCTCAAGATGTTTTAGTTTCAAGGACGCATATTTCTCATGAACAGAGCAAGAAATATTTGTCACAGTCCTTAGTTTTGTGGAATTTCACTTCAAATAGATATTGAACTTTTAGCCAAATGAGGTGTGTTAGAAAATGGTAGGAATGGCGAGCGCACAACAGGTGTAAATTTATGGAAAGCTTTATAAAAAAGATTTTAAAAAGATTTAAAAAACAGGTTTGGGTGAGTGAGCCACTTAGTCAGGGAGAGGAACCCTGTGGGTAATAAAAAAAAAACAAAGAAAGAAGCGCTATAACCGAAGGATTCTTATTGTTAAACAGTTTGGAAACTTTGTATAAATCTCGATGCAGACTCACTTTTGAACGGACGAGGTGGTGTCTTGCCGTTGAAGAGTGAGGGCTGTATGTCGGCTTGGATCGCAGGGAGGCATCTATGGCTGGTCTGTGTGGATGTGAGCACCGGGCTACACGGCTTCTAATGGGTCCATGGGTGTTGAGGAGTGATAGATGTGACTAGTGGGTCCGTACGAGCAGGATGTATATTTAAGACACTCTCCGTCAGGTGCAGTGAGAGCACAGCTGGCCAGGCTGCCACTCTTCGGCTGAACGGGAGCAGAAGTGTCGCTATATAGCGATCTAGCAAAGGGTCGGCGGTCGTTGTGGAAGAGGTTCAGGAGCGGGCACCAGTCTGAGGGACCCTGCGGTCCGTGAAGTAGTTGGTTTGGCTACGCGTTTCGAGGCTCTGTACTTCTTTGTCAAACCAGGAACTTTGTCAAACCAGGAATCCTAGGGTTGTAGCGCTTCTTTCTTTGTTTTTTTAGAAACTTGTAGTATGTTCTGTGTTATCAATAAATACAACCAAGGGCATTCCAATCCCATCCAGTGATGTCAGGCTTCCTCATTATAGGGATGGGCCTGAATATAAGGTTGTGCACAGCTGTGATACATCAGAACATTTTTCTCAAATCATATGGAGATCCATTTTGTTAGAGTAACTTATGAGTTGAGTCAAATCTTTATCCCATTCTGGGCCCGAATGAAGGGGGAGTGTTGTTGCCCCCGAGCGCGTTAGCTGTTTTTTTTGTTTGATTGAATTGTGAACAATTAAAAGTACTTTTGGACTCTTTTACCTTTTGGTTTGGTGCCTGTTATTTCTGAACATCAGAGTAGTCCATCTTGTTTGCCCTTCTATGCTACCTTGTTTGTGTTGTTATTCTGCTTTGCTGCAGTCTGGAGTCACATCGAACAACCCCCCTGTGATTTACAACCCAGAGGTGACTTGGACCCAGCATGGAATCAGTAACAGTAGATGGCCATCCTGCACAGAAATACTATAAAAAATCGGGTGCATGAATCTTTAGTAAAACTCAAAGCATATTAAACCCCTAAAACAAAGCTGTAATATATTTTTAGCTTACGAGTCATTAAAAGAGTTGGGTGCATTAGTGTTCTTTTTCAGGTTTTTTTCAGTTATTTTTGTTCCTGGTGATCCTGCCAGTAACACACTTCCTGTTCTAGGATTTGTATCTGTATTGTATCTGGGGAGTGGCAGTGTTTTCACCCTAAGCTGTTCTCCTGTTTTAGACAATGCATAAATGTGTAAGTATAGACAGGTATTACACACCCCATTTAATCTAGGCAGGGCAGGCAGGACCGAATTTCCCACAAGGCCAACCAAGGCATGGCCTTGGGGCAGCAGGGAGTAGAGGGGCAGCAGGGGTGTGGAATTCCTATCTCCCGATGCCCGGGACATGCAGTGGGAAGTTGTTTTCTACATTTAGCCACGACTTGTTTTGTAGAAGTGATCCCGGCGATGTCGCTGAGATCACTTGTATGCAGCCTGCAAGTCTGCCATTATCCAAGGGGGTTTGGCGGGTAGGGGGCATATTGAGGAACCTGGCCTTGGGGCAGCAGAGAGAGTAAATCTGGCCCTGAGGGCAGGAGACCTTATTTTTTCCTGCTGCAGTTAAGTAACAGTTACATGTCTTATCCCTCCCACAACCTGTGACTGGAGGGTGACAGAAGAAGCATTAAACTGAACAACTAATTTCTCTGTCACTCTGCTCTCCGTTCCTCTTGGCAAGAACCTTATTAGCACAAGAATACTGCAACACAGTTGACTGGCTCCTTGTGCTGCCTTCCCAAGTCTGAGCTCTTTTGGCAAAGAACCGGAAGGCTGATATTAAGTCTAATTACGGTACTTGCATTTAACAAATGTCTTTAATTATGTATTAATTAATACAGAGCTTAAATCTAACTGGAGTTAAGCTTTAAAATATTTAAATATATTTATACTAGAATCCTTTAAAAGAGAACTATGGGGTAAGCTTTTTATCCCATAGTCCTCTTAAGGGTCACGGGAGGACATATACTAACCCTCTCCCATGACCCAAAGCTCAGTATATAGCTCGCTATATACTGAGAGCGCCACAGCCGGGACAAATCCCGACAATACTGTTGAGATCCACCCAGATAGCTGATTGATAGCGGGCTTTGCCTATCTAGAGGCTGAGCCAGCTGTGCCCGCCCCTTCCCCGTTCATTCCTCCAGTCAGCGCTGGAGGATCGGAGAGGGGATGGGGGAATCCCTGTGAGGAGCGGTGACTGAAATGATCGGAAAGTGAGCGAGTGATGGTATGTGTTCGCTCACCTCCCGCTCAATAGAGCCGACGTGTGACAGTTTCAATGTCACACGTCGGCATAACTATGAGGATGAGTGAAAATCACTCACCTCATAGTTCTCTTTTAAGTCCCTCCGTATCAGCATTCAAGCTTGGAGGGAGAAGCACTATCAGCCCAACACAATTTACTGCTGTGGCTGTTAACAATAATATCAAACCACACTGCCTGTCCAAAAAAAGTCACCACCTGATTGCCAGGATTCAGCGGGCTCAGATTGTGAAGTAGTGATTCAGGGAGCATGACATTCAATTTTCACACATGGATTAGCCACCGCAGTATCCAGACCTTAACCAAACTGAGACTCTTGAGATGTGCTGAAGAAGACTTTACGCAGTGGTCCGACACTCCCATCATCACTACAAGATCTTAGTGAAGTAATAATGCCACGCTGGACAGAAATAAATGTTGTTATATTGCATAAGCTTATCAAAGTGAAGCCACAGTGAATGCGTGCCATAATCAAAGCTATAGGTGATCCAATGAAATATTAGAGTGTGTGACTTTTTTTTTTGGACAGACAGGGTAGATTGCTATGTATCTAATAAATTAAGTTTGCTGATTGGTAGAGAGAGCATAGAGATGACCTCAGCTGATGTTCCTTCACTATTCAATCACAGTCTTGTCCAACCTTTATTGCTTTGATTGCTGTGGAGAGAAGCAAATGCTCAGGCTATGGCATCTGGTAAGGTTGTATGCCTATAGTTAAACTTTATGAAAAATGTGTAAATGATTACACAATATAACTTTTGCAGAGTTATCCCCCCCCTCCCAAGGTTCTTCTTCTCCGGTAGCCAGTGATCTTCTGTAATCTGGACACCCTTGTACCCCAGTGCATTCCCCGTATACTTCTATAAGGATATCTCTAGGGTCTAGTTGACACCAGTATACTCCGTCCAAAAGTTAAAAAGAACAAATTTTTGGCATAATTTTATTTTAACATTTAGCTGAAGCTCTGATTGTTGTAATATGTAAATAATATCTCCCCTTCTATAAATGGTTTTTTTTTAGCAATGTCTAAAAGGTCTATTATTAAAGCGTGTTCTTGGTCACAGTGGTGCAGCAGTTAGATGTGACATTGTAGAAGACTAGGAAATTACCATACTTAACTAATCTTATGTGCGCTTTCAGATAAAGGCTCAGAATTATGTCTTTCACTTTAGAGCTAAATTGTAACTTTCATTCTACAGACATCAATGAATGTAATTATCTGAGGCACCAGATCATTACTGTTCTTTGTTTTCTTTCTACAGCGGCTATGAGTTTGATTATGATTACTACCGGGAAGATTTCTACAATCGGTATGTGCGGTTATTTCCTCGTACCGTTGTTTCAGCATGTATGTGTGTTTGTCTGTCTGTATTAAAGGCTGATTCATTAAAACTGAACAAAAGGAAATGGAGACAAAAGTGAAGTTGTTTCCAATGGCAACCAATCAGACTTTACCTTTTATTTTATGAGAACATGAAAAGGGAATGATGTTATGGCCAATAGTTCTGCTGAGTGTACTTTATTTTCTTGAGTTTTAATGAATTAGATCCAAAATGTTTTATGTATAATGAATCACGTTACCAAAAGATGAGAAAACCCTTGCAGAGAATCTGTTGTATCCAGTGTTCAGGAACCTAGATACCAAAGTATGGTATGGATAGTACATTGTCTCCAAGTCTGTCACTGTTAACCTTCATTTTATAAAAGTGTATCTAAAGACAAACACAAAAATGTATATATTGCAGGTTACCAGTCCTTAGAGGTGGTGGTTGTATTAGTTTTTGTTTTTACAGTCTATTTTTTTCCTTTATTTTCACCTGGTGATCCTAGCAGTAACGTACCGCCTGTGACAACGCTCCCTCACCATACTGTGTATATGAAGGAGCAGCATTGTCACCCTAAGCTCCCTGATTTGGACTACAAATACTTCTTCCTCTCCCCATTTCAATTCCATGGAGGGGATGTAATTCACAAAAGATAGCTCGGAAAGCTTTATACGATTGTTTGATATTTCAGGTCAGTACAAAGTTATTTAAGGAACTCGGGCAAGATCGCCAGATATTTTTGTATACTTGCAGAAAATATACTTAGCTTGAAAAGAGAAAACTAATGCAGCCATTACATCTAAGGACTGGTAAGCTGCAATATATTACATGTTTGTACTTCAATTTAGAGATACTTTAAGTTAAATTCCCTGCAGTTGGCATCATTTTGTTTCATAGCAGCCACGTGTATCCCTATCCCACACCCCAGTCAGCTTCCTCACATTCAGGCCGTTTATCAGGAGGGCTTTCCATTTTTTGGAAAATCTTTGTGCAATGTTGCCAATATTTCATTCTCCTTGATAAAAAGAAATCAGGAAGGTAAAAACTACATGTGTACCACTTCTATTTGTCAGTAAGAGAAGCAGCGGTGGGTCTCAACATTACATATGGCAGGTGCAGGTTTCCTTGCCTGGTGTACTCAGGAAGACATCTGCTTGCCTGTGGCCATAGTTTTAGTAACTGAATGTTGTATGTACTTCACAGAGCTACAATGTGATATGGAATGATACTAACCTTCTTGTGAATCCTTATCATTTTTATCTTTTCACAAATGGCTTCTAAAATAATCTGAACTTCATCTAAGCCATATTAATGAACACAGTTTTATTTACCAAGCATGATGTGCAATATTGTACATTGCCATATCTTCACTGAACAGATGGTTTAATCAGTCAAGGTCACTGTAAAATTAGAAAGTAAAGACTGTACAAGTAAGTACGAGTCCTTAGGGTGACACTAAATTGAGGAATTAAATCTCAAAAATGCATTAACAAAAATGCAGCTTATTTGTCTATCACTCGGCTATAGATCCTCAAATCATCTCTGAATTTGTGCTGACACTGTCCTTCTCTCCATGCTCACGTTCCTGTGCTGGGCTACAATCTCAATACATATTAGTTAACTAAACATGAGATTGTAGTCCATCATGGGAGCGAGCTTGGAGTGGTGGCTACTTTACAACACTTACAGGAACCATGGGGAACAAAAGTAGCCACCCTCCAGAAGGAAGGACAGTGTCAGCACCAATTCAGAGATGATTTGAGGATCTACAGATGAGTGATACACAAATAAGATACATTTTTATTAATACTCAAGGCACTTGAATACATTTTTAAGATTTAACTCCTGAGTTTAGTGTCCCTTTAAATATTGTAACAAACAGGAACCTCTTTTACTGGCAGTAACATTAATCAACAATATTGTTTGTACTTGCTGATCAGACCTTTGCATTTGTTAGGATACACATATACCCAATGTTACAGTTTATGTAAATGTTTGTGATGTACAGCTCAAATAGACTTGCTCAGATTATGGTACAGCATCTCATTGGGATTTCACTGGTTTGGCCATTCTAAAATGCAGGTGCTTTGAATATATTATGTGGATAATGAAGGCAAGTGCTTGCACATAGGGAAATATAAGTGTGGTTTGTATACCATTTTTGACTTGGAACAAATATTCAGATCAGAAAGCCAGATAAAATTCCGGAAATACTGTACATACATTTTCATACCAGGCAAGTAATATTTTCAGAAGGGGAAGTCAGAAATGGCAGCCTACATAATTTCCTCATGATAGCTTTACTTTCAGGGAGGGCTGGGTGAACCTCCATGTAATGTTTGCTTTGTCCCAGTCTTGGTGGTGTTATGACGTAGCAGACACACAGCTATTGAGGCACTTTTGTGGTGTGTGAAGCTATCATATAATTGCATATGATGTAATAATAATTTCAAACAAGTAAAACAAGAATCAGTTTTTGTTAACATTTCACAGGGTTATTCACAAAAGGGTGAAGAGTTTGGAGAAGGCAGGAGAAGTGAACAATCTAGGACAACATAGCGGAACATGGAAAGTGAGCTGAATTGGAGAATTTTTCCAAATCGGTTATTTGGGCCTAGATCGTTAACTTCTCCTGCCTTCTCCAAACATTTCACTGTGAATAACCCTGTCAGTGTTGTCTAGGTTACTGTTTAGCAGGGGTGAATGTTGAGAAATGAGTCTGTTTAATGTACTGTATTTATTTATTTCCCCTCTTAGGAGAATTTTCCTTGTTGACTAAAAAATTATGATTTGCGTGTCATTTTTTTCTTTACATTAATTTTATTAAAATTATTTCAATAAAAATAACTTAAATTAAATAAGAAATAAAGGATAACTACTGAGGGATTCTAGGAAATAAATTAGGCAGAATGGCCAAGTCTTTTTTTTTCTTGCCTCACCACAAACTAGAGCTTTTTTAGGGAACTCGATCTGTGAATGAACTGAAGGGAATTTCTCTCAGCTGGACATGCTTGCTCGGAGAAGATTCAGCAGGAACCTTTCAAGGGGGACCCCGAGCTAGGATGTCTAGATTTTGCCTGCTTACTACCATCAGTTAGAAGAGGCAGCTGCACCACAAAACGTGGCTCTGGAATCTTGGAACTTTAGATCAGTGACTAATGATTTCTTTAAACACTCTCTAAGATCAATAGATTAATTTTTAATCCTCTAGACTTTCAATCATTATCAAAGCTTTCACAGCTTTGATAATGATTGATAATGCTTAAAGGAAAGAGCTGTAAGAAGAACAAGATTTCTTAGTGTATTCAATCCTATGTAGTTGTGCCTTGACAGTCTAATAAAGCCTAAAACCCATTTCATTTCTTTCTGTACATCCTTCAAATGCCTCAGTTTGTTCATAAGGTGGTTAAGGTTCATACCACCGGGGTATGAGTCAGTAGGAGTCAGTAGGAGGGAATAAACAGTTACATGAGTACTGTAAGGGCAACTGTGGACGTCCACTGAATAGGATTTCAGACTGCAAGCTTCTGTGCCAACATAGGTTGCGCAGGTATGGTCTATTGTTATCAGTAAACCAGTCCTGATTAATGATGTGCACCTGATGCATCTGCTTTAAGGGTATAGATATAAATAATTGCAATATTAATGCAAGGAAAAACATCAAAGGGAATTAAATAGCAGGTCACCTGTATCAAAGAAAATCATGGATCAGAAATGAATGGAATAATGGAAAAGTCAGGTTTCAAATAAGAAACATCCCAAATGGTTAGGACTATTGATAACTTTAGGATCAAGGGTAACAAATGCTGTGTATAAATCTGCTCTATAACCATACCCTTCAGTACATAAAAGACATGTCTCTGATCTGTGAAATTTAGAACCACAGGTCTCATGATGGAGGAAGCTGCCAGCTTACTATGTCCCAAGATAATTGCATTCTTTTATTTAAAGTATCTTCTTTTAAAGGGCTTTGATTAATAGCCACAATAAGATGTAATAACCATTCATAGTATAGGAGTGATAAGAGAATGGATGTTATAACCAGGCCTCTCTAATTATATCACAGAACATACAACTGTGAGGTAAGGTTGTAAGTCATTTCTATTTATAGAAGCTGTCCACTTTTCTAAGTTTCTCTTCATATTATTTTTCTATGGTCAAAACAGTGTTAAACAGTGCTTTAGGGGTAGATTGTTCAAAAGTGGTGACAGAGCAATTATTTTGCATTTTCTAAGGGATATTAGATGAATTGTTATTTCTGGAAAAGCCATCAGATTGGGGTGATGGCTTGTGATATTTTGCTTTCAGTCATGCATTTTGTAGCACATGCAAATAGTATCTATGCAAATACAAATGGAGGCAAACAAAATTCCTTTTTTATAGTAATGTTCTAAATATTATTTACAGTGATTATCTTCATAGGCTTTGATATTAGAAATCAGCCTATTATAGAGTGCAAAGAAAATGTTTTATAAACTCTATTATGTTGCATTCTCTGATTCGCAATTATTTTGCTTTTATCTTTCTGATATCTGTCTAATTCTCTCAGTAAAGCCAAGGAAACAAACCCAGTACTATAATAATGTGTTTTTACTAAACATGGATGCTGCATTTACAAAGTACTTCTTTCTCGTAGGAGAACAATACAACTCATACTGTACAGAATGCTATAAATATGCAAACATACACACATGCCGACAATTTTTATTCTTTGTTAGCAAATGTAATGGTCTGTATGCAGTAGGGATACACTAAACATCACTTAGCTTCCATTATAGCTGGCCCACGATTCCCTCAGTGGACATGGCTTCAGACATTTAGGCGATCACAGTAAAATGGGTTCTTGATCTTGGCAGTCTTGTTCTCTCTTCTAGTACAGCTTTAGAGCCCATTAACATGAGTTCACACATAGTGAAAATATAGAACACAATGGTTTTCTATGTGCCTTGCTCACACCATAATGCTGCGGAGATGTGCATGGCAGT